CACACACACACACACACACACACACACACACACACAGACACACGCACACACAAACACTCAAGGGTACAGAAGCACCACAGGATACCACACATTACAAGCCGTGGCGACAAAGACAAAAGGCAACGAAAGTCCTGCAACCTGTCTTCGTGGTTTTATGCACCCTGCATAATTTATTTTAACAAAATTTGATCATTTTTGGGCATAATTTCTGATTATTTTCCATTATCATTCTTTGTTTACAAAAACAACAGAATCGCATAATTTCACATTTTTGGGCTCAGTTTGCATAATTTCAGAATTTTTCTTGCATAACACGACGTGGACAGTGTAACTCACCCCATTCTGAGACTTGAGTAGCTCTGCCAGCTTGTCCATGGTGAGTTTCGCACCCCTGCGTCTGACACAGCTGACCAGCGAACCAAAGCCGTGCGTCACCGCGGATGGCTTTGGCTTCTGCGTCTCTTCAATCTGTCGCTTACGACGTGGCTGCACGGGCTCAATTTTACAGGGACGAAGTTTAGCCAAACTCTTGGGGTAAGAAGGTGATGTTGGGCTGTATGCACGTGATGTTGGGCTGTACGCACGTGATGTTGGGCTGTACGCAGGTGACGTTGGGCTGTACGACGCGTCTATCGGGCTGTACGCAGGTGATGTCGGGCTGTACGACGGGTCTATCGGACTGTGGGAAGGCCCAGTTGGGCTGTACGCAGGTGATGTTGGACTATATGAACGTGCTGTTGGCCTGCTCAAAGGTGCTGCTCTCGCCCTCTCCACCTCTCGGGATTTCGACCCAGATCTTCGGTCACTTTTCAAGGGAATCTTTCGTGATTGATCAAATCGGGAATACAATTGAATCTCCTTTGTGTCAGTAGCCTTCTCTCTCAAAACTGGAGGAGCTTGTGGGAAAGAAATGAGGTCGGATGTCGTTCCATCACGGCAACGAAGTGACTCTTGCTCAGATGGGATCTGTTTATCGAAAGAACCAGACATCTCACTTCTCCCTGGGGCATCATCATAATATATTGGTGGACCATCTGAAGACAAAGCTGACCCCATAGAAGATACTAAAGAAGCCTCTCCTGTTGACCCCAAAGCGACATCTCCAAAAGAATAATCTCTTCGTGCTCGCGTTTCTGCAGAAAGAGAAGCCGACCCCCGACCTCTCCTGAAAGATGCTCTAGCACTGTGACCTAACAGAGACCCACTGGTGGGATAAAAACCTAGCTTTTCGAATGAATCTTGTTTTAGGGAAGATGCAACATCCGCTGCTGGAGATGAACCAAAAGTGGCCCCTCCAGTTGTGGCCCCTCCAGATGATCCAAAAGTGGCCCCTTCAGATGATCCACAAGTGGCCCCTCCAGATGATCCAAAAGTGGCCCCTCCAGATGATCCAAAAGGGGCCCATCCTGCTGTGGCCCCTCCAAATGATCCAAAAGTGGCCCCTCCAGCTGTGGCCCCTCCAAATGATCCAAAAGTGGCCCCTCCAGATGATCCAAAAGTGGCCCCTCCAGTTGTGGCCCCTCCGGAAAATCCAAAACCAAAACCTCCAGCAGGTGGTGGTGGGGGTGGGGCTTGAGGAAAGGGAGGGGGTATGGCTTGAGGTGGTG